GACCTTTGCATCCAGTCACAAGCTATGATAGCGACCTGTAGCTTAGATTGCTTTTATAAAATGAATTAGGCAGATGAATAGGGCATTTCCATTTCAAAGTTAAGTGCTCTAGAGTTTATTTAATTTATTTTTGTTTACTGGATTTTCAAGGCATCAGACTCTGGGCAGCTTATTAATGTTTAAAAGAATACTTAATCTGGGGGGGAAAATAGACAAAACCCCATCAACAATATCCCCCAAACAATTCAATCAGATTCCGTAGTAGAACAGAACTCATGAATGAAATTGGGGCTCTTATCAAATAAAGTAGATGCTGTGTTCACCCATGGTAGGGTTAAAATTAATCCAGTTGCTCAGGTTCATACAACACACTGAGTCATACACTAATCAACCACATGTTAGCCAAGATTCTGCCATCTTGACCTATATGGTTTGTTTAAAGTCCAGTATATGGTCTGAAGTCAGAAAATTGAGGTGAGTAATTGTACCAAGGTCACCAACCCAATTTTCTGAATCTGCATAATTCTTTCATGCAAACATAGCTTCAGGGTTTAGATCAGGGGTGTTCGAACCTGGCCCTTTTATGACTTGTGGACTTCAACTCCCAGAATTCCTCAGCCAGGCACGCTGGCTGAGGAATTCTGGGAGTTGAAGTCCACAAGTCATAAAAGGGCCAAGTTTGAAGACCTCTGACTTAGATCTTTGAGTACTTAGAAATGCTGTTATTTCATTTCTACAGAATGGGCTGGCTGTATATGTGGCATAAAAACATGGTCAAGGAGTCGACCTCCCACCAAAAACTAGGATATAAACCATGATTTACAATCCACATGGCCGGTGGTCACATACAGTTAGTACTTGACTTACAAGTGGCTATTCAAAATGACAACGGCACTTTAAAAAGCTACTTATAATTGTTTTTCACGCTTATGACTGTTACAGTATCCCCATGGTCATGTGATTAAAATTTGGACACTTGGCAACTGGCATGTACTTATGACGGTTGCAGCGTACCGGGGTCACGTGATCCCCTTTTGCAACCTTCTCCAAGCAATGTCAAGGGGGAAGCTAGATTCACTCAACAACTGTGTTACTAATTTAACAGCAGTGATTCCTTTAACAACTGTGGCAACTGTAAAATGGGACAAAAGTCTCACTTAACAACAGACATTTTGGGCTCAGTTGTGGCCATAAGCTGAGGACTACCTGTACTTGGAGCCAAATAAGTCATATTATAAGCCTCTGCTTAACCAGGTTCTGTGATCAAATATGGGATAGATAAATATTTTACAAGTGCTAAGAACTTCTATTTACATTTTTTTTTCTGTTTTGAGGACAAATAAAATAAAAGTAACATCTGGGAACTGATTAACAGTGGCCGAACAGAACAGTGAGCTAGCTAGCTAGCTAGCTAATAACGCAAACTGAGTTATGAAATGTTGGCTCATACTTCCAGTATAATCCAGCTTTCTCCTACAGTAGCTCCACAATCCTTAGCAACACAACCTCCCCACATTTGCTACCTGATATGCTTTAACTGCAGTATCCCATGATCAATCATGAGATTGCCGTAACAGCTGAAAAACGATATAGTCTTGTGTGAACAGCCAGGAGGGAGTCTCATCTCCAGCTAATAAAACCCAAATCATTATCTGGGTTTTTGTAAAAGAGTAACGATATTTGTACCAAGCACAAGTTACAGACTCTTTATAGATTGCTAGGAGTATTGAGGATTTTATCGCTCATTCTGCATCAAGCAATTTATTACATCCTTCACAGTTTGCTTTGTTGTTAGCATAATGCCTTAATTTAAAACTTTATTTTTAAAGAAAAGGAAAACGGGCTTGAGGATTTGTACAGTATCACGAGCTCTATAACAGCTTTGTTCCTTTCTCCTGAATTGTCTTCTTGATCCTGTAATTTTAACTGTTTGGTCTCCCTTCAGTTTATTCTGCAGATCGCAAAGCATTTGCTGTTTCCTATAGCCAGTAAGCTGAAATCTGCTACTGAGATACCAGTTAATAAGTAGGAAAGGTACACAGCTAAATACTATCTGATCTAAATTTGAATAAGGGATAACAGAGGGATAGAATCAAGATCACGTGAAGTGTTAACACCACTTTACAAGGCCTTGGTAAGGCCACACTTGGAATATTGCATCCAGTTTTTGTCACCATGATGTAAAAAAGATGCAGAGACTCTAGAAAGAGTACAGATAAGAGCAACAAAGATGATTAGGGGACTGGAGGCTAAAGCATATAAGGAACGGCTGCTGGAATTGGGTATGTCTAGTTTAATGAAGAGAAGGACAAGGGGGGACATGATAGCAGTGTTCCAATATCTCAGGGGTTGCTATAAAGAAGAGGGAGTCAAGCTATTCTCCAAAGCGCCTGAAGGCAGGACAAGAAGCAAAGGATGGAAACTAATCAAGGAGAGAAGCAACCTAGAACTAAGGAGAAACTTCCTGACAGTGAGAACAATTAACCAGTGGAACAACCTGCCTCCAGAAGCGGTGAATGCTCCAACACTGGAAGTTTTTAAGAAGAGACTGGACAGCCATTTGTCCGAAATGGTATAGGGTTTCCTGCCTGAGCAGGGGGTTGGACTAGATG